TAATGCTGGCAAGCAGACTAGGTCTCCCGCCTCACTTTCACTATTCTTATCTCCCTCTAGGTACTGCTGTCCACCTACCCCAGAGTACAGAAGGCTGTGGGCTCTTCAGAGAAAATATTTGAGTACCTGGACCGCACCCCGCGCTGCCCACCTAGTGGTCTGTTGACTCCCTTACACTTGGTGGGCCTTGTCCAGTTCCAAGATGTCTCCTTTGCCTACCCAAACCGTCCAGATGTCTTAGTGCTACAGGTACCGCCACCAATCCCTGTGTTCCACTGGCCCCACCTGCAGTTCTGCCACCCTAAATTTTCTTCCTGCCTTCAGCCTGCTTACCACCAAGCATATATCCTTCCTAACCCTTTAAAGGCAATGGTAAGCATCATCTGTCCCATAAATCTTCCCCAAACTCAAGAACCCAGTTTCGGCTTCCAAAGAGAATGGGAGAAGAGGGTTTGAAGAGAGTGCTTTCACATTCCAAGGAATTGCTGCAGCAAAATCTGTCTTCAGTCTATCATCTTTCCTTTTCCTTTGTAATTTGGAGTGTGATTTTTCCATTTCCTGGTGGGATCTGATGTCAAGTGTGTGGTGTAGCGGTGCTGGGTCTCTGCCCTTGTCTTTGCCTCATCTTCTATCTCTATGCCTTGGGGAGGCATCACCCAGAGATCTGTGCATGTGGGAGGGCAGGAGTTGCTATATTTCCCCGTTTTTCTTCTGGGGTAAGACATCATGCTATGTAACAAGACAAGGACACTCTCAAGGTTAGAGGCCTTGATAACCTCTTATTGTGTGCTTCTCTGTCCTCTAGGGGCTGACGTTCACCCTATGCCCTGGGGAGGTGACGGCGCTGGTGGGACCCAATGGTTCTGGGAAGAGCACAGTGGCTGCCCTGCTGCAGAATCTGTACCAGCCCACCGGGGGACAGCTGCTGTTGGATCAGAAGCCCCTTCCCCAATATGAGCACCGCTACCTGCACAGGCAGGTATGCAAGAAGGTGGCAGGAAGGACGGCAGAGAGCATCACATAAGAAGAGTATTCTTACTGAGCACTCTGAAAGGGGGCTTAGGGAATGATAAGAGACCCTGGGTGGAGATGGTGGTGTGGTCAGGAGGGATGTAGTGCGATTTCGTGATATGTTCTCAATAAAGATTTTGAATCTTCGGTCTCTAGATAACCATGCTCCTGTGTGCCTTGTTCTATGACTCTTCATCATATTTCATCTCAGGTGGCTGCAGTGGGACAAGAGCCACAGATATTTGGAAGAAGTCTTCAAGAAAATATTGCCTATGGCCTGACCCAGAAGCCAACTATGGAGGAAATCACAGCTGCTGCAGTAAAGTCTGGGGCCCACAGTTTCATCTCTGGATTTTCTCAGGGTTATGACACAGGTACTGTCTCTGCTCATCTCACTGCCCAACCATCTTTACCTTTACTGAAACCCCAATAGTCTTGCCTTTATCTCTCAGTTCCTCCTGCCCCATGGACATGAATTTGAAGTTGTAAGATCTTGCTCCTATGGCTTCTTCATCCTAACATCCTCAGGACTCTGTTCATCTTCCCAGAATCTCCCCTGTCCAGCTACAACTGTCAGACCTTGGTGTGTGTAAGTGTGTGAATGCATGTGTGTGTGTGTGAGCGTGTACACACACGTATGGCTATACAGTTCTCATCTTGGCCCTTTGCTCTGCAGAGGTAGGCGAGGCTGGGAGCCAGCTATCAGGGGGTCAGCGGCAGGCAGTGGCGCTGGCCCGAGCATTGATCCGGAAACCATGTGTACTCATCCTGGATGATGCCACCAGTGCCCTGGATGCAAACAGCCAGTTACAGGTGAGGCATTCATCTTCTTAATGCCTATATCCCATCAATCTTGCTTCTTCTCTACATCTTCTGTTGGTTTTACTAACATAATTATACAAACCAGTCCTTGTGATTCTCAGTTCCCAAATACAGCTCCACTGGATGCCTCCCCAAGGAGTAGAGATAGAAGATGAGGCAAAGACGAGACACCTAGAACCAGTTAAAAGAGCCTATCTACACTACAGACTGAATTTCTTTTCTTTCTTCCTTCCTCCCTTCCCTCCCTTCCTTCCTTCCCTCCCTCCCTCCTTTCTCTTCCTTCCTTCTTTCCGTCCTTCCTCCTCCTCTTCTTTCTTTCTTTCTTTCTTTCTTTCTTTCTTTCTTTCTTTCTTTCTTTCTTTCTTTCTTTTTCTTTCTTTTCTTCTTTCTCTCTTTCTCTTTCTTTCTTTCTTTCCTTCTTTCTTTCTTCTAAGACAGTGTCTTGCTCTATTGTGAGCCTCGCTCGCCAGGCTGTAGCACAGAGGCATGATCTTGGCTCATTGCAGCCTCAATCTCCTGGGCTCAAGTGATTCTCCCCTCAGCCTCCTGAATAGCTGGGACTACAGGTGTACGCCACTACGCCTGCTTGATTTTTGTATTTTCAGTAGAGATGGGGTTTCACCATGTTGCCAAGGCTGGTCTTGAATTCCTGAGCTCAGGCAATCTGCCTACCTCAGCCTCCCAAAGTGCTGGGATTATAGGTGTGAGCCACCTTGCCTAGCCCTATAGACTGAATTTCTAAAATGAAACATAAGGAAAAGACCATCCTCATAATATTGTTTATTAAAAAAAATTTTTTTTGTACAGACAGCACTATGTTGCCTAGGCTGACCTGAGCTCCTGGGCTCAAGCGATCCTCCTGCCTTGACCTCCCAAAGTGCTGGGATTATAGGCATGAGCCACCAGGCCCACCCCATCCTCGTCATATCAATATTAATCAAGCTAGGCTCTTTACATGCACTCCCATTCATTTATTCATTAGGAATCCTGAGCCAGGCATTGTTACCGTCATTCTACAGATGACAAACTGGAGGCTAAAAGAGGTCATATAGCTTTTGAGTGGTGTAGCCTTGACTCAAATTCAGGTCTGCCTGACTTGAATGTTCATCTGTTTACTACTAAATTATATTTTCTTAAAATTTAATATAACAATTCCAAGTCCATGGGTAAAGAAGAGGACTATTCAAGAGCCTTTATTCTCCTGTCATATGTTTCATCCTCGGACTCTTACTTTTATCCCACTTTTGCCCCCTCCATGTAAAACAGTCCTTAACAAAAAAAAAGGGGTTTGCGGAGAAGCACTCAAAATGGGAAACCTTGGTGTTCTTGGGGTTGCTGGCAGAGCCAGCAGTGATGCTGTGAGGTCAGTCCCAGCCCTAGAAACACAGGTGTCTCCCTGGGCTGAGGGTCCCCAGCTCTGACAGTCCGATGTCTTTCCTCAGGTGGAGCAGCTCCTGTACGAAAGCCCTGAGCGGTGCTCTCGCTCAGTGCTTCTCATCACCCAGCACCTCAGCCTGGTGGAGCGGGCTGACCACATCCTCTTTTTGGAAGGAGGTGCTATCCGGGAGAGGGGAACCCACCAGCAGCTCATAGAAAAAAAGGGGTGCTATTGGGCCATGGTGCAGGCTCCTGCGGATGCTCCAGAATGAAAGCCTTCTCAGACCTGCGCACTCCGTCTCCCTCCCTTTTCTTCTCCTCGCTGTGATGGAGAACCACAACTGCAGAGTACGCAGCTGCTTCTAGGAGGAGTTACCTGAAATTTCCCGAGTGTTTACCTCCTTTCCAAGCTCCTCTTGATAATTCAGACTTCCTAGAAGGCAAACACAGGATATGTAATTCCTTAGCGTAACTGAGTTTGGAGCCAGGGTTGGTGCTTTGGTGTGGCCAGCACACTGAAAATCGAGAAATGTTCAGAATGTACAGAAAGAAAATCAGCTATTTTCAATACGACTGAAGGCATATGCTGGCCAATAAACACCCTGTAGATTCTTGATATTTATAATAAAATTGGTGTTTTGTACTGTGGTTTCTTATGTTTCCGACGCACCAAACGGCTCACTGCCTTTTGCAGCGCACTTTTCAGCAGCGAGGTGTCTCCTCTTTCATCATCCTCAATGTCTTACGCCCAAAGTACATCATCTCTCTTAAGCTTTCTAATTCCTTTGAAGCCCCGTCCATTTCCCCATCCCTCTACGGCTGCTCCTAAGAATGAGCAACAGCCCCGCGACACGGCCCACCAGGGTACCAGCGGACGCAGCTCAGAGCCGTGGCCTCCCGGAGGTGAAAGATGGGGCAGGCGCGGCCAGAGCAAGTGCCAGGCGCGAAAGGAGGGACTGGGCGCGCCTCACAACTCACCACCTAGTCCGCTCGGGTCCTGGCTCACCAGGCTCCCAAGCGGAGCCTGTAGGGGAAACCTCAGAACAGTGGGCGGGGTTGTCTAGTAAATCTCTCCCATTCAGGGAGGCCCAGGTCGTGTGACGTCAACAGTTGCTGGGCAGATGAGGCCAACACAGGTTGCAAAGCGAGGCGGGGTTCAGAGGCGTCAAACTCCGCAATGCTCAGCTAAGCCGGGAGCAGAGCTAGAAAGGGCGAGCAGAAAGGGCTCTTGTGGTTGACTCCGGGTTAGGAGACCGTTGAACCGGGAGGGGCCCTAGGAAGGACCTCGTGGAAAGATTCAGAGACTGCGTCCTCTCCCTGGCGCCCCCTTCCCCCACACGCGGCGGGTATATTCTGCTGCAGTTGCCCCAGGACCTGTTCCCAAGACTCTGCCCGTCCCTCCTGTCCCTCCCGGTTTTGTAACGTGATGGTCACAGGAACCCCCACCCCACGTGCAACTGCTCCCAGCTCCTGCTGACTTCCAGCTTTCTGGTTGAGGCTGCGCCTTTAGATGACACGACCCTACTCACCCTTGTTTCCAGCGGTTGCCCGGGCCTGGAGGTGCTTCTCACTGTAACCCACCACCAAGGGGCTTCTGAAGGTGCCCGTCCCTTTCTTGCTTTCTTCCTACAGTCCTTGACCCATCATTCCCCCGACCCCCATTAAGGCAGAGCACAGAAGCCAGTCCGCCAGTGTGATAGTCCTGGTCCAGGCACTAATTGTCCTTTTCTCGGAAAAGGCAGGGGGATGTGGAAAAGATTCTGGTTCCCTCCCCTTCGATCTGTGGCTTTCGCTTTCACTTCCTCCTCCAAGAGCCAACAGACCTCCGGGTGCTGGGTAGTCATGGCGCTACTGGATGTATGCGGAGCCCCCAGAGGGCAGCGGCCGGAATGGGCTCTCCCAGTTGCGGGAAGCGGGAGTCGCTCGGACCCGGGACACTACAGTTTCTCCTTGCAGTCTCCAGAGCTCGCCTTACCCCGGGGAATGCAGGTCGGGGCTGTAAGGGAACCCCCGGTGATGCCGGGAGGCGGGCGCTGAGAAGTAAAGGGTCGCCAGAGAGGAGAAGAAAGCGGGAGCGCGGGAGTGCGGGGGACCGGGTTGGGGGCAGCCTTCAGTCCTGGAGAGCGCCAGACCGAAGGAAGAGGCCACGTGGGGATGGGGCCTGAGAGGAGGAAGTGCAGTTTAGGACAAAGAGTTACAGGTGAGGTGGGGGCTCCCAAAGGAAGAAAAGAGAGCTTTTCTGCCCCTGTCCACATACAAATCGTGGAGCCTTTTTCGTGGGTTATCACATGATATAGGAGCTGTGTAGTGTCTTGGAAAACCTATGAACTTTGCCTGCTAGCTTCCTCTCAGCAACTCTCTGTTGAGTGACTTAGAACAAGTAACTTAGTCTAGGTCCCAAGTCCCTCTTCTGTAAAATGAGGATACTGTTACTAAATGTGTTTTGTGAGGGTCAAATTAGTTATTCATAGAAGAAACCCTTAAAGTCACTCTCAAAATTTTTTAGTAATGGTAACATGTGCTTGCTTTTATTTCTATTATGCCTCTTCTTTTCCTTCTCCAAGCCATTTCCTTCTAATTTGTTATTAACTGTTTCATTTATTGATGGTTAGACAATTTCTGCATATCTCCTCACCCTCATACTCTCTAAAACCATTTTCTGGAGCCTCTTACTACAGATTTTTTCATCGCCTTTCTCCACCTCTTTTATCAGCCCACAGAATTCTTCCAGTCCCTTTGTGGGGACGGAGAAAGGAACGTTCAGATTGAGATGGCCCACGGCACCACCACGCTCGCCTTCAAGTTCCAGCATGGAGTGATTGTAGCAGTGGATTCTCGGGCCTCAGCTGGGTCCTACATTGGTGAGTGTATATGCTTCAGCAGGCAGAATCTGGGGATCTGGGCTCTCCTTTCCTCAGGAGCTCAACTCTGCAGCAAAGTGGAAGTGGATATTGATTTAGGACACACTGGGAGATTTGTGGGGTCATCCCTTCTCTCCCCAAACTCCATCTTCTTTCAGCTACCTTACGGGTGAACAAGGTGATTGAGATTAACCCTTACCTGCTTGGCACCATGTCTGGCTGTGCAGCAGACTGTCAGTACTGGGAGCGCCTGCTGGCCAAGGAATGCAGGTAAGTGAGGCTCTCATTTTCCTTTCTTAGTCTAGTGGTTAATCCCTGGATCTCTCAGATCATTGCTCCCATGTGGTCCCTCTTAGTGCTTATAGTATGTTTCAAAATACAGCCTTTTGGTGATAAGAACCTTCTCCCAAATCTCAGCTTATGCCCCACTCATAAACCAGATAATATGTCAGTTATTTAGCACTGACACATCTACCCTGGTGGGATAGTATCATTTACGAGGCTGCCTTTGTATGTTTCAGATACTTCAAATTCCAAATTTTTCTCTGATCTTTAGATCCTACAAAATAATTCCTTTCCAATGCTTATCTCTTCAATCATTTCCTGCCCCATCAAGTTGGAAAAAGCTAACCTTCCCTCCCTCACTCCACCCTGTCCTCACACAGGCTGTACTATCTGCGGAATGGAGAACGTATTTCAGTGTCCGCAGCCTCCAAGCTGCTGTCCAACATGATGTGCCAGTACCGGGGCATGGGCCTCTCTATGGGCAGTATGATCTGTGGCTGGGATAAGAAGGTGGGTGCTCTTCCTTCTCCATGTTCCCCCACCATGTTTCCCATGGATGACAGATCTGTTTCCCATCATATACTCCTACTCCCTCCCTGACGAGATGCATGGCATATAGAATGCTCCGTTATTGAACTGTTCCGGTATATCCGTGGGCTATTTATTGGCCCAGATATGGATCATTGTATGTGTTTTGTAAGCTTGTCTCTTTTGTCAAATAGTTGATTTCAAGTTTGTTTTTCCTTTTTTATTTCTAAAGCTCTATGACTTTACCAAAGTGCTCTCCTAATTCCAATGTTCTTGTGGTAATATTCATTCTTTTGTCCACTTTTTATGACTCACATTTGAACCTCTATGTTGCCAACATTTCCCTCTCCAATTTCAGCCTGAAAATTTTCATCTTACAGGGTCCTGGACTCTACTATGTGGATCAAAATGGGACTCGGCTCTCAGGAAATATGTTCTCCACTGGTAGTGGGAACACTTATGCCTACGGTGTCATGGACAGTGGCTATCGGCCTAATCTTAGCCCTGAAGAGGCCTATGACCTTGGCCGCAGGGCTATTGTTCATGCCACTCACAGAGACAGCTATTCTGGAGGCGTTGTCAATAGTAAGAGACCAATGCTCCCATCACCATGCCTGGGAGGAGTCGGGAGGGTGATTTAAGATTGAGAGCCAGCCTGGCCAACATGGTGAAACCCCATCTCTACTAAAAATACAAAAATTAGCCTGGCGTGGTGATGGGCGCCTGTAATTCCAGCTACTTGGGAGGCTGAGGTAGGAGAATTGTTTGAACTGGGGAGGTGGAGTTTGCAGGGAACTGGGATCGTGCTGTTGCACTCTAGTCTGGGGCCACAGAGCAGGACTCCGTCTCAAAAAAGAAAAAATTAAAAAAAAAGATTGAGAGACTCAAAGGAGGCAGAGTGGTAGGGAGAAAATTTTCAGAGTCAGAAGAAGGGCATTGAAGGCCCAATCATATGGGTTTAAGCCTGCACATGCGTCTTGTTGCTGCCTTTAACATAGCACCATTGACAGGAATTGAGGTGAAAGGTGACTCTGTGCTCTTTTCTCATTTGCCCGCAGTGTATCACATGAAGGAAGACGGTTGGGTGAAAGTAGAAAGTACAGACGTCAGTGACCTGCTGCACCAGTACCGGGAAGCCAGTCAGTAATAGTGGTGGTGGCACCTGGGCAGGCCTCCTCTGGGAGGGCTTGGCTGACTCAGAGACCTGAGCCATGTTAAGCCCCCGGAGAAGATGAGGCCCAGCTTGAGCCAAAGAGAGACTACCTGCTCAGCAGCCAGAGGAGGCTGGTGCAGTGCATCTTCAGTGTGTTCTCTATTAGAACAAGCATTTCCCCCAGGGGAAGCTTCTTGGTGCCCCACTAAGTAGAATAAAGAGAAACGGTTATAAATGCCTTCTTCTTGTGGCTGAGTGGGGTTGGGCCTGTGGTTGGTGGGTGGGGCAGGAAATAAAGAGATGCTTTTTCTGGGGAAGGGACTCAACCCTGTCTCAGAAATGTGGCTTCACCACGTATTTGTTTCTGGAGTTTCCTTCCACACTCATCTCTCCAAGACCGCAGGAAGGTTGTTCATTTTTGTCCATGGACACTTGTTTGCAATTTCATGTAGGTTAGGGTCCTTTCCATAGAGAGAGAACTGGAGACTCCTGTGTGGTCCACTGTTAATGATTTGGGGAACAGGGAATAGGACACCTAGTATAGCTGTTTTTGACTTTATTATAGAGTGGGATGAAAAAGCTTCCACTTCACCTTAATATGGCAATCCTAAACACCATACCATTTACCCCAAGTAACACTTGGGAGATATTGAATATAGACAGACATTAGGGGTCCCATTTCATGATGTGTCATGCTGATATGCAAGATGACAGGACTATAATTTGAAAGGAAGAAGAGATCAGAAGGACTCCCTTAAGTGGGGAAAATGTAAAAGCCCTGGTTAAAAGAGAGTGACACACATCATGAGATATTTGAAATCATGCTGGAACTATGGACCATGTCACTTTCCAGAGAGTAAAGGAAACAAATGCTTGAAAGTAGGAAGCAGCTGAGCACGGAGCTTTTTTCATTAGGGAGAGATTCTTAAAATGCCAGAATGAATAGAGTTGTAAAAACTTTGAGTCCCTACTTAAAATACCCCCTCCCCGACACCACTATTTTAAACTTTAAGTGACTCACTGGTAGACACACAAATAACATTTCAAAACGGTGATTTGGAATCCAAGTGACCCTTCCTTTGGGAATTTTGTTTGTTTTGCTTTCAGTTTGGGAGGTGGTTTCAATCTGGAGTCCTTTCTGGAATAAACATATTTTTCTGTTGCATAGGTAGGCTCTGGGTCAGGAAGGACATTTAGAAACCCGATTACTGTTCTAAACAGTGTTAAAATAGAACAAGAACCAAGGCCCAGTACGGTGCATTTCCCTCATAGGCTGAAGGTGCTCCCAACGGAATTTGGAGTACAGGCTTGGAGGCATCTGAATTCGCGCCAGCTCAAGGTGCTCCGCTGAGAAGGATGGATGAAAATAAAAGATCAGGGCCTCCTAAATTCAAAATCCGTACGTGGAACTCCCCTTTGGCCTGGTGAGAGTGGTTGGAACCTTCCATTTAGGAGAGCCCGGCTTATTTTTCGCTCGCCTATAACTGGAGCTTGCATGGGAGAAGAGAGCAGCCCTTCTTCATAGCAGGCTCAGAGCTTGAATTAGTAACTGAGAAAATCTAGTGATTCTCCAGTTACAAAGCAGTCTCCAATTACACAGCAAAGACAACAGATAAAGTTGTCCTGAGACAACTGTATTTTACTTAATGACAAATAAACATTTTTTTCAGTTTTATATTCCAGAGTAACCGCCGCTAAACGTGAGTGCGACTCACTGCAGGCCTGGGCGGGGCGAACCGGATTTCGGGCTCCAGTTCTGTCTGCGGGTCTCGCGCGCCCCCTCCCGGCGGCCCCGCCCGGAATGAAAGCCTGGGCTGGGGAAGCGAAAGCGAAAGCTGC